CATAAACATATATTCTGGGCCTAAAGTGGAACTTTGCAAGTGAGGCACCAAAGGCTCTGGTGCAGAATTTAGAAATAACTGAAAGTAGAAATGAGTCATGTACAAAATTGTTTTAGCTTTACTAGATTTACTTTCTTTACATGTAAGCTGTGGGCAGGTAACCTGTGCTGCTGCTTCTGAGGTTTGGTATGCTTTGTGGATGTACCCAACTTTACCCTGTAGTATAAGAGCAGATATTACATAAGCCTTTGTGGCTGGTTTCAAACCCTCCAGCCAGAATACAGCTGTGTAAAGGTGGAGTTTGATAAGTGATACTAAAGAGAATACTCAGCAGACTGCGCTACACTGCATAGGAGCACTTTGTATTTGCTGATATTTATTGAGTTGTATGAAACAATGCATTTGAATGTACAGATTAATTTTACAGCTCCAATTCACAACAGTAACTTTAAGGTGCTTTATATTTTAAGGGAAAGACCACCAATCACACGACCCCCTATGAGACTGAAAACAGCTGAATTCAAAGATTAAAAGCTGTGGCTCAATGCATCATGGTTCTATGATGCGTGCTACTGCATGTGTTACAGTAAATGCAACAGTAAGAATGGCAGCAGGTCATTATTCACTTTTATTGTATTTATTTAAGGAAAAAAGTACTGTGCAAATCCCCAAATGCAGTATTAGGGATGGTCACATATTCAGGCAAAAACACAAATTCATTTCTCTTAAAAACAGTCAATTCCAAGCATTTACTCAAATGCACACACACACACACACACACACACGGAAAGCCAGAGAGGACATAACAAAAAAAGTATTTGGGTCTAATCACAATAAAAAGATTTAAAAAGTATTTTCAAAGAGTTCAAATCTATTTTTCTAATGCCATAAACAAAGTTTTTGTAGTGATAGAAACACATAGTCAACAGACATAAATCTATGTCATTGCAAAATAATGCAGTGCATCTGCAGGTTGCAACACCTTAAATTTAAGCTGGGAGCTGTAAATACAATTATGAAGCCAATTTAAGACTTACTTAATAATCACACAAAAAAGTACAGACAAGGAAAAAAATGAATTTCTATTAACTTAATCTCAACTTTTACTAACTCCAAACGAAACAAGTTAGGCCAGCGTCTCTTCAACAGTCAGCAGTGGCTTCTGGCCCTGGCAGATCCCCAAAGAAAGCAGAATGGATTTGCACGGGGTGGCTGTGATTGTATACCGACTACATGCTAATGACGCGTTAGGATCGGGGATCGGAAGTTAAATGTAGACAGTAAGAGAAATGAATCTAATGTTAAAGGCTTGTAATGAGTAGTGACACTTTGATGGTACACATTTTAATTCACATAATAGGGAGTGACTGAAAATTCAGAAAAGCAGGTTTGGGATGAAATGAACCAAATTTCTAAATCTAGTCATGTTAAGTCAAAGACAGCAGTTGCTTCTGTCTAAGATGGTTATGTCAAACAAGGTTGGGTTGTCTACGTGAATGAAAATGGATCTCTTGATGATTTATGCCTCTGGAAAAGAGCCACTATTACTACCGAACATATTTGAAAACAGCTGATGTTGGCTAGAAGAAACTTTTCTGACTGAACTTGGGTCGTTTGGTGTAGAACCGCATTCTGCCATAAACCTGGCTGGATTGGCATTTGTGCAGTGCTAAGTGTTTTGCTGAAAGTGCAGCTGGCCCTAAAAACTGCCATTGAAGCTGGAAAAGGGTATCAACGTAATTGTGCTGTTGGGCAACTGTGGAGATGTGTGTGGTCACGTTTCTCAGTGGTTTCTGTCTGAAATGGCTTGATCCCTAAGAAACAGGGTGTTATGGATTTGAAAGCATCAGAAGTTTAACTTATCAACATTGGGTGCAAGTAAACCAAAGCCGTGCAGCAGCGGTTCATCAACAATAGGTAGACTGCTTGAGGAGCAATCTGCATTTCCTGCATATAAATGTGTAATCTGAAGGAAAGGAACAAGATCTCATACTGCAGAAAATCCCATCTGGTTTCCATTTGTAGTCAGAGCACTACTGATCAAACACATCTGACCACATAACTGCATGCAACAATGCTTGCAGAGAACGGAAATGCAATGATAAGACCACTGAGTAATACTTTCTGACAAAGATTTAGCTTTCGAGTGAAGGAAGATGGAAGAAAATCGTGGCCTAGATGGACACTGGCCTTGCTTAAGCTGTGAAAACAGAGAGCTGAAATCAGGTGCTGGATTGTAGCAACGTTCTTTCATTTGAACCAGTTTCCTACAGCACCTGAACTGATAAGGGGTGTGAGTATATTTCCCATACATCCATCCATCCATTCACTTCCGCTTATCCTTTTCAGGGTCACGGGGGGTGCTGGAGCCTATCCCAGCTGTCATAGGGCGAGAGGCGGGGTACACCCTGGACAGGTCGCCAGTCTGTCGCAGGGCCAACACACAGAGACAGACAACCATTCACACTCACATTCACTCGCACATTCACACCTAGTGGCAATTTGGATTATCCAATTAACCTATCCCCACAAGCTGCATGTCTCAGAAGACAGACATGCTATATTTCATAACATGTAATTGCTAAATTTTATTGGGGCTAAACACAGTACAGGAGAATGCTCAACAAATACAAATTAAGCAGACAAATATAACAAGTAGAATAGGGAAAGTGTATCTGGAAACCTGCTGACAATGTGAACTGAAATGTAATGGAAAAAATAGGATGTAGAGAAGCATATTTGGTAACTCAGTGTCTCAACAGGGAATTAAAAAATGTTTCAAAAGCAGGATGGAGGAAAGATTATCTGGCAGCCTCGGGTCAAAAACGGGTTATCAAGAATGTTCAAACACAGGATGGAGAAAATGAAACTGTTACCTCAGTTCCAGAAACTGGAGTAGTTGATGTTAGTGAACAGAGGAAAGAAATTAGCATCTCTGTGCTAACACAAGTGGAGAAAAGTAAATGTTAAATGGACTGGTTGTTATATAGTGCTTTTCTACTATAGCTGAGCAATCAAAGTGCTTTATACAACGTACCTCGTTCATGTCTATTCATACAAGCAATTTTTTCTATGCTTAAGTGTTTTCTTTCTATCTAACATTCATACTCTGGTGGATGCACGAATCATGGTATCGCATCTCGAATAGTCTTCTTACTGTCAAAAGTGGCACAAAAGTTGCTCATTTTCAAAGGAATGTGAATATCATCATTGTGAAAGAAGTTGTCAGACCTTTTAAAACTATATTTAAGATTTTCTAGACGAAACAAGACCCAGATAAACACTAATTTTTGCTCTTGTCCCCTCATGCTTTCCACACTCATGACTATGGACCGTCATGTCACAGTGAACACGACAAACTCAAATAACATTCATTTTGAGCTGGAACAAAATGCTACTTCAAGTTGTATCAAAATTTTACAAAAAGTTCAAACAGCATTGATTTAAAGAAAGAAACATTTTCTCAATACAGCTCTTACAACTACAGATGCAACATTGGCTGTTTCTAACATACAGTACAGTGGCTGGACATTGTTAAACACAGTGGACTTTGATGTAATCACACCTCATGTCATGCTTTTCCTACATGATCGCTCTCTATCACATTTGACATCCAAACACACATCCTCTCAATGTGAGTACATCATAGGCATTATTGTAAAACCTGAAACTACATTTACAAAATATTTGTCACAGTGCATTCAAAATACTAAAACTACATTAGAAAACAGAGCAAAGTTCAAGTGCTTTAGTCACCTAGAAATGATAAAACTAAACATAAAAAAATGATCTAAGGATTAATTCCAACATGACACTTTTAGTAATAAATCCAGGTTGAACTGACTGGCTGAATTAATCCTAATCTATTAAAAACTGAATGTGCTTTCTGTCAGAAGTGAACAGATTAACCGTTGGAGGCCTTCAGTGGTTAATCACAGGTGACTGCTGGTCTATTCAGTCACATCAAGAATACAGTACAAGAAATTTTGTACTTCCTTGCTAATTCTGCTCTATCTTCTTCAACGATTATTAACATTTAGAGAAGCTACTTTCAGCTGTATTTACAAGGGATCATCACAGTGGGTAGCACCACATTGGCAGGTTTTTACACCAGATATCTCTTCTGACGCAACCCCAAAGTAATTTGTGTAAACCACTACACTCTGACAGAAGCTGTTTTGTTTCTTTATTCTTACCAAATAACTTTGCCAGCTGTATCAGGCAGAATTGTACAGTGCTTGAACACTTAAAGTGTGTCCATAAAGAAGGGTACTGTACAGCTGTCAGCTTCAACACAGCAAGCATGTATGTTTGTAAAGCCTTGAAATTAATTAAGAAGAAGCCTCAGTTCTGTTATTTTGCTCCCTTTATACTTTTGTGCTTTTATTTTTGTAGCTACTGCACTTATATGACATAAAGCTCATTGAAATTCTACAAATGTAACTTTGCTAGGCCCTGTGGAAAATTTGCATCTATTTACTCACACACTTACTGACTTTATATACATTGCCACCACATTCTTCCTAAACATGCAATTTAAATTCAAAGTCAGGTTACCCCAGTGTAGGAACTGGGGACACTGTTCAAGGCCTGTACAATGTAGACAGTCCCAAAAAGTGAAGCCATGGTATCTTGGATGTGGGCAGTGCCATATTGTGCTGCTCATTTGCAAACAGATCCTTCATAGTAGTGACTTCAGGTGAGAAATTACAGACATATTTCCACTATCGACTCCCCTACTGCGCAGTCTCTGTTAGAAAGATGCCAGGACACAATTCTGTGATACTTCAAATTCACTTTTGTACAATGGGTAAAAGTAATAAACATCACATTTCAATGATTAACTGACGAAGATGTCAGATATGCTGGAGTGTGCAAGAAGAACCTGGCACAGCACGTGTTCCTTGACTATACATGTTTTTTCTTTTCCTTTGTCCCAGCTTTGCATCATCACCTACCTCCTCAACTCAGGAGAGGCTGTTTCTTTGTGTCTGCTGTACTTGTACCGTGTGCTCCGCTGCTATTCCCTGAGTGATTCTTCTGAAGTCGTCTCTTAGTACATGGCCTCAGTGTCTCGGATGCTTCCGAACGACAAACTGAAAGCGCTTCCAAGTCTTTTTGTGATCGTGCTGCCTTCCCTCTTTTTCTTCCTGTTCCAGTTCAGCAAAGAGGCGGAGCTCTGGCCTTTAGCCCCAGACAGCAGACGATGCCGAGTGTTTTCTTTGTCGCTGCACAGCGACAGCATAACTGCCCTCCTCTCCACCTGCTAAGAAACAAAAAAGCATACACACAGGTACACAACCACTGAAACAGCAGACAAACCCCACAGATATTTCCACAATTTAAGGAATCAAAGAAGAGACTTTCAGTTTTGATTCAAAGGTTTGAAAATAAAGTATTGCATTGCCCTGAGCCTTCAGGCTAATACTGGGTTAGTATAAAGATGGCTCAAATGTAATCAAATGACAAACACTCATATTCCCTTGTTTCAGCATTTTACAGGTGAGGGGTAAAAAGCATCCATCAGAGAGACAGAAGGGTAAATTCTGAAAAAAGGTCACTGAGCACGGCCTTTTCATGCTGCTTATGCTGGAAAAGGGCTAGACATCCATGGAAAACAACAAAAAATAAATGCCACCAAAAAGCTTTGCAACAATTTATTGTTCTCTACGTCTCTACGAAGGAAGTTTATCTGAAATCTACATGCTTATGAATACCCTACATAGCTCATACACATATTTACCTGTGTATCATGTGAGTGTAATGTGACCACACTGATCTCCACCCCTCTGTCACTGCAGCTCTTCAGCATGTGGACCACCTCACCATGTTTGGCCCACTTACAGTCCTTTCCATCTACTGCTACTATGTAGTCTCCTTCCCTCAAGCCAGCCTCCTGAACACATCATGTAACATCATTAGTTCATCTTAATTACATGTTTTGACCTCATTTTTTCCATGCAAGTATGCAGGCCCGCAATATATTCCCACAGGAGACAAAAGAAGGAAGTGTATTGCATTTTGTCTCCTTCATGTCCATCACAACTCTTTTCTAAATAACAAATGAATGGCTCTTTTTTGCAGTTAACTACTTAATCAAGTTCAATTCAACTGTATTTATGCAGCGCCAAATCACAACAGTCACCTCAAGGCACTTTATATTGTAAGGTAGACCCCATAATAATACAATAAGTAGACAGGAAAGCAGGTCTTAAAATATTTAAATCTTAGAATCAAACTGCAAATCAATTCCTTTTGAGAGGATAAAAATAGAATAGAAATAAGACTACAAGAATACAAGAGAAGATCTTTTCTTCTCACAGAATCTTTTCTAGATGTGCAGGGTATATCTCACCTCTGCCCAGCCTCCAGGCACCACTCCAGCCACCAGGACAGGAGAGTCTCCTCTGAGCGTGAGCCCCAGTCCTCCTTCTCTCTTATTCAGGCAGATCACACGCATCGGGCCCCAGCGAGCCCTCGCACAGAACACTGACAGTGGACCCTAGAGCATAAGAACAGGAAACAATTTTAATGGTTACCTAACCTGGGTAGGTATCTGCCAAGTGTGTATTATTTCTTCCCTGTGGGACTTACCAGTCTTTGGAAGATATCAGTAACCTTGACTATGGAGAAGTTGGGTGGAATGACGTCTGGTTTCTGGTGGGTATGAGCTGGTAAAGAAGCCAGTTAGTCACTATGATTTAATCAAACAGAAAATGTAATCACTGACTTTACGATTATACGTGACACTCACACTGTATCTCTGGGGCCTCTGCAATTTCATCAAAGTCGTCCTCTCGGTCGAGCTCTGAGTATTTGTCCAGGGAACGTTTGTGTGTGACAGAGAGCACATCCTGCAGGATATCCATCTTTCTCAGGATCTTGCACAGACTGTGGACACGCATGGCCTCCTCATGTCTGATTACAGCACGCCGCAGGTGGGCCTTACCTTCATGTAAGCAGAAATTATTATTAAAAAAAATAAAGGTTTCAAAGAATGGGAATATAACTATTCAAGTTATAACATGAGCATTTTGGTTCATTTTCAAGATGCTTGCACAACGCAGCTCATAGCAGCTACGTGATGAATACAAACTCACCAAGTTTTCGTCTTTTTTCAGGATCTTGAAGAACCTGGCTGAGTTGTGGCCCAGCAGGAACACTGGCATGGCACTGAAGGAAGGCCTTCTCAGCTTCCTCCTCCTCTTCCTCCCCTCCTGCCAACACTATGGAAAAATATATACAGCTAAGATCTGTTTAGAAATGCTAATTAGGTGAGCATTATCTCTGGAAAAGAATACAATAAAGTTAGGTTTATTGGGTAAATCACTAGAAATGTCAGTTTTCTTCTTCAAAACACAGTGCTTTTGATGCTGCATAGGTGATACACAGGACAGAGGTGTACTCCATAGGTGACAGAGGAAAACAGCTTTGTTGATGAATTTGCCTCATTAGGCATTAACAGACTGCTGACAAGATGACAAGCACAGACAAGATAACGTCGCACACTGCCCGCTGGATCAGTCTGACACCACTCTCACACCACCAAGAATGTCAGTCTTTGATAAAAAATATTACATTACAGTCTGTTTATAAATTAGCAGCAAAAAGTGTCTTACGTATGTAACAAGCTTCAACTTGATTTTAAGACTTTTTAAAGACACAAGTGTACTGCTTTAATTCAAAATTAAATATAGCCAAGGCAGAAGGTTATCTACAAAACAAGAAGTATGAACTCTCCCTAATGGTAAATGGCCTGCATTTGTATAGCACTTTTCTAGTCCATAGGACCCCAAAGCGCTTTACACTACATTCAGTCATTCACCCATTCACACACACATTCACACACTGGTGATAGCAAGCTACACTGTAGCCACAGCTGCCCTGGGGCGCACTGACAGAGGAGAGGCTGCCGGACACAGGCGCCACCGGGCCCTCTGACCACCACCAGTAGGCAAACACGGGGTTAGTATCTTGCCCAAGGATATTTGGCATGCAGCCAGGAGGCAGCCTGGGATCGAACCACCGACCTTCTGATTAGTGGCTGACCTGCTCTGCCACCTGAGCTACAGCCACCCTGAACATGAATGAACATCTGAGTAAATTTTGTACTTACACATGTGGTCGCAGAGTGCAACAGCAGCGTAGTAGTGGGAGAGAGCGCGGAAGTGTTCAGATTTTACCTGAACCATGGACACCCATGAAAATGGCACGTAGTCCTTCATCAAAGGCTGTGTCATAGTCTGCTGCACTAACAAGTAAACATCTGACACCTACAGAAAACACACATGCATACAGTTAAACATAGGGCATTAAGGGTAATAACACAAACAAAGCACATATGTATTTACTCACCCGTGCAGCCTCCTGTGCCAGCCGGAGCTGGGAGGTAAAGTGCGTGTCCTGTGTGGTCAGGGTGATGCGCTCAAACACACACTCCTGTACCTGGGCAAGCATGAGCCGCACCAACATGCAGAGTGATGGACTACTCATGTCCAGACTTGGAGCGTTGGAAAAATTCTCTTTAAGATAATTAAATGCACCTACACATTAAAAAATAAATAAATTACCAATAAATACATTACCAATTAGCCATGTGAATTCAAACATCCTGATATCAATGTTTATTGTATCAAAAGTATATAATAAAAACAACTGAACAAAAGCTTTACAGGATTGGGTACCTCAAAATCATCAATAGCTGATTATAAACAACAACAAAATCTGTTATATTAATGGCAATCTTCTTGTTTTGGCTGCTCCTTTTAGGGATTGCCACAGTGAATCATCTGCCTCTATCTCGCCCTATCCCTAGCATTGTCTTCTGTCACAGCAACCCTCTGCACGTCCTCCTTTGCTCCTCTGAGGTCTTCTTCTTTTCCTTCTGCCTGGAAGCTTCATCTTCAACATCCTTTACACAATATATCCACTATCCCTCCTCTTTACATGTTGCATTCTTCTCTGTCACTCCTGACTTACTCATGCAATATCAATATTTCCTATTCTTGGTACCCTAACACATGCGTTCTCTAGATTCAAAAAGACAACAGTGAAGCTCTTGCTGACCTCCATCAATACTCTCAAAGCAAACATTGCATGTGTAGTTCTTGCCACGAAGCCAGACTGCTGCTCGCTGATCAAACCTCTTCTTAACCTAGTTTCCACAACTCTTTCCCTTAGCTTCATGTATGGCTCACCACCTTTATCCCTCTCTGCTCATGCTTAGCTACAATCTACAGAACACTGCCTTGCAGTCTCCTTTATCTTGCAGTTTGCACATTCGGCATAAGGGTTACCGGTAGTATGCAGTCATTGTTAACCCCTTAGCAGTCCTACAAATTTACAATTAGTCCCCTAAACCATCCAATGTACCGTGGGCGGTACGTCCGACTGCTAACAGGTTAACCCAGACCCGACAAATTCAGAATGAAAAATTCATTTTTTATGATCTGCATCTTTGATCTGGTCAAGATTTTACATCAGCTGCACTTCCTGATGCAACCCTCCCTATTTATCTGGACTTGGGCCCAGCACTAGGACTATATTGCCTTGTGCTGTTTTGTGTAAAAAACAAGCCCCTCGTATTTGAAGGCTCACAAAACGAGAAATCAAGTATTTTGATGTATGATTTTGCCATTGTGCTACCTGCAGCACGCTGAAAAGCATCTATAGCTCGGTCTATGCCAGCTGTTGCAGAGCGGTCCTGTCGTGCTCCGATCTGCGTGTACAGGGCTCCGATGTTGAACAACACACTTCCCTTCTCGAAGGCCAGCGCACGCTGACACGATGGAACGCCAGTCAAAGAGTCATACCTGAATGACAAACGAAAAGGGAACCACCAATGAGCAAAGCCCCTCCAGAGTTTAAGCTGCTGGAACAAAAGTTTCTATTAAGCTTAAGTTTTTTTTTTACAGTCATGGAATGAGACACTGCCATCCATGCTCTGCTTCATAATTAGCACCTTCAAGCTCAACTAAAATTTGTAGCCAACCACTTAGAAACATAAATGAGATTTTAATTCTGGAAAAATGGTTTTATGGTCACATTACATAAATCTGTCCCTGGAAAACAACTATTGAATGCTTCGATTTTCTCCTGAAAGAGAGAGCAGCAGTAAGGCACCAGGATGTAGTAACAGCACGGCTAAAGTGCACATTTAAAAAACTGTTCCTTTGCCCATTTTTATTTTACTGCATATTGCACATACTGTAAAATGCATGTTAATGATTATGATAACCCTTCAGTATTTAAATTATGCTATCATATAATACCAGTGGAAATGAACACCCAGATTCTTCTGAGCAGAGAAGAAGCGTTGATCCAGGTAGTACAGCTGATTGTAGTACTCCATTAGCAGCTCCAGACCGGACTGGTTTCGACTGGGTGTACGCATGGCCTGATTGAATAATCAATAAACTAAATGTTAACACTCATTTAATGTCAGCTACAGACAGCCTAAAAGAGACATCAACTTTAAATAAATCAATACTTTTCATTCCACTTGTTTTTCTACCCATGATGAGCAGAATGTTTACTCTGGATCAAACTGTATGGGTGAACTTATTAACCTGTCTAAGTTCCATAAGCTCTTTGATTTCCTTGTCATAGAGAAAGCTGTCCTCCCCGTAGTGCTCACATATGAAGTCCTGTGAAGGCAGACAGAGACACGGTGACAAAAAAATTATCTTCACGTGTCCACATGAAGATGATTTTGGTTATTCTTCCATACTATCTGGAAAAAGGAAAGCAAATAAGCACAAAAATATGATATTTCATCAAACTACCCATCTGTGTCAAATGTTTAGTAATGAACAAGTAATGAAAAGAAGTCAGGCCAACTAATGTAAATTAGCATAAAAATATAAACACTGCTTGTAAAATAAGCTTAAAAACATTGATTCAGTAACTTTTATTAGGATGCATTTATTGCAATAATCTTTTACTCAAACACAAGTTTTTCTTGAAAAGAACAACAAACTGGATAAATAAAGAGAAGGAGGTAGATAGATGCTGACTTCACCTTGATAGCAACAGTGACATCCACCTCTTTGGTTTCTTTTAAGCCAAGTGGGATCATTGGAACATTGACAGCCTCACTACAAAAAGAAATTAACAGAGGTAGTGTAGGTTTCGGCAATGACTGCTGCTGCCATCTGCTTGTTTTCAAAACCAGCGAGCACTATTCTCAGGGCTTCATCCTGCTAATCAGAAAAGCTAAAGCCAAGCAGTAAGCCTGTCACCCCCCACAGTTACCTACTGCCATTCACAATAACAACAAATGTGCACACTGCCACCACAGGGTTATTGACTATACTCTAATCAGGGGATTTTTCCCTCACACGATACGGAGCCGTGGAGGCAAAAATCTTATGGCTGTGACAGAATGCATGACACACGTGTGGATGCTTTTTTCCTTAAGTCTGTTTAAATAAATGTGACTGAAACCCAACTTTGACTTAAACCCCATCCTATTATTAAAAAACAAAGATAACATTTCTAAGGACTGGTCATCACAAATATCCAAGTACAAGGAGGTTATACACCCAGTGCCAGCGTCACCACAAAAATATAATGGATGCTTGTTTTCCCCAATTATAATGATCATTAGTCTAATAAGCACGGCCTGGAATTAATGGGACAAATACGCATGCATTTGTGCACCTGTCTGTCTGGTAGACGTCCATGCTGCTGTTAAGTTCCTCCAGCTCCTCTTTGAGCAGCTGCAGGTTGGAGTTGACAAAGCTGAGCTCTAGAGCCACCGTCTCCTTCACCTTGTTGTTGGTTGTCGCCCTGCAGAATAAAACACAAAGACGTCCAGGTGTTTTGTTTTGTTTTGTTTTTCAGTTCTCAATACTTCTTTGTGGGCTTTCTAAAAACAGTACTTGGGCTGATTCCTAATCTGCTTTGTCGTAGAGCCCAGTATCACAATTAGAACAACACAGCTAAAAACTGACTTGCTACTTTCATTCAGTATTAGTGGATGCAGCAAACTTTTCTGAGAACATAAATTCAGGATGGGGTGAAGGCAAAAAAAGCCTCTCTTTAATTTATGCAGCTCTCTCCACCTTCTCCTCCCTCTGTCAACCACTTTCTCCGGTTCACCCCCCAAAAACAATGAGAGGGTCAATGACTAATGCCAGCTCATACTTCTATGGGGTACACAATGTTCCCAGAAATCTGAAGCATCTCTAGTTTACAATGTTGTTGTTTAGAAAAGTGGTAGAGAATTCCTCCATTATTGGTCCAAAACAGTGCACAAAATTATTGGGACTTTGCAGTCATAAAGACATTCTATCCATGAAGGAGAGAAATGCATCAAAATGGGCACTGTGTCAAATTCACAGAAATGTAGAAGAAATGGTTGAGTTTAGATGAACTGAAAAAATAAAGGCCTGCAACATCAAATTTACTTACATTTCCTCTGGCCCATCTATCCACCCCATCTATTCTGTATCTTGTTTTAGCGGGAAATCTGGTGTCAGTTTTGGAGATGTTTCTACAAAATCCACGTCGCCTTGTTTTCAAGTTATCGATTTCACAAGACTTTCAGAAAACTTACTCTGACTTTGAGAGTGAGGTCACTGAGATTCGAACTCATCCAAGATTTTCAGTAGATGCACCTGTGGTATGAATATGAATACACTGTCGCATTCTGGAGTTATCATATTCAAAAAAAATTCAGAAAACTAAACCTCTGACCTCGACTTTGAGGATTCAAAATCCTCAGATATTTCTAGGAGATACATCGATGATATCAATTTGTAGCTCCTACCGCGCCTTGTTGTTGAGTTATCACATTCACAAGCTTTTCAGAAAACTACCCCTCACCTTTGACCTTTAGGTTGAGGTCACTAAGACTCAAACTCATCCGAGGTTTTTGGTAGATGCACCTATGGCATTTGAAAATCCTAGGTGACTTCCTTCTTGAGTTATCACAAACTTAGGTGTCCAGCCTGCCCAGCTGCCCATCTGGAGGGATGACTACAACACCCCATCAGCCTTTTATGGCTGAGCGGTAAAGAGCTAAAAAAAAAAACCATATGTTTGAGTGTTTATCTTGAAATAGCACTTCAGCTTCAGTTGCATATACCTGTTACCAGAACACTCACATCACTTTGAATTTGAAAAATTTGTGGCATTTTTTCCATGTTATCCTTTAACACATGACCAATCTCAGTTCAAACACACAACTGAAGCTCACTTTTGAGGACTTTTTAAATCAGGTTAAGCTTTCCAGTTAGACCACTTCAGCTTCACCTCTCTCCTCATCTGTCACTGCCTCTCCCAGTCTCACACACACAAACGCCGATATGTAGGATCAAGCCAGGGCCAATCTGATTAGTCAGCATTAAAAAGGCTGCCAAATATCCCCTTCACACACATCCACTTACACACACAACAGTTTTTTTTCCTGTGGCCATAACACATTTTAATTATTTTAAAAGCACTAACCAAAGCAGAAACAGAAAACAATGTTTTGATATCATTAAGAACAAACTGATCGACAAAGTCATTAAAAAACTGAGCAATAGTCCTTGTCACATGACCTGTAAATAGTGTCTCTGTATGTTTTTACTAACTTGTGTTTAACACCAACCTGCCAGAGGGTCTGCAGATGGAAATTAGCACAAGGCTATAATCTGGCATATTTACATTTGTTTAAATGTTCATTAATATCTATTGCCCCTCTTTCTAAATAAATAAATGAAATAAATTATATAAAGCACCTGTGAGATAAGAAAAATATCTCACATGCAGAGATATTTTGCAGACCTCTGGGGTCTGCATGGACCCCTGTCGCTGGGATGATGTTTAAACAACATTACAGCCCCTCAGCTGAGCTCCTACATGCAGCACAAAACATGACGTCTTCATTAGCCAATCACAAACCCTGATTAGTGACACCCCTTCCCCTGTATTTAATTAGCATCCCAAACCCCCCTACATACAAACACACACAAACATCGACTCCCACACACCAGCACTAATACCATGACACAGTTCCACAACAGTTTCACAACAAGTGAAGTGCAAGTGAAAGCTACATGTTTTTGTGTATGTGTGTGTTCATGTGTCTATGTGTTCCACTTGACTGGAAAAAGAAGGACAGAAAAAAAAGGTCTGACAGCACCAGACAAATAAGTGGGGGATGAGCTTGCCAGAGCACCGCTGGGAATCTCTGCATGGGAACAGGACGGGGGCAGACACAAAGCTAGCTGATTACAGGCTGACGGGTTGTGTGGGGGTCTTTGTCTATGTGACCGGGCGTCCCAATAGAACGGGAGAGAGTGCTTGTTTTATATCCAGTAAACTGAGTCATCACCTTTCGGGATAAGAGCCTAAATAGGTCAAATGTGGAGCTAGGGAAACATTGAAAAGACAAATAAAAAGAACTTAACACCCTGTTACACAGTAATTACTTTAAGGACTGTTTCATCATTTGAAACATTTAGAAAACAAAACAGCAACAGCCACTGCAGTCAGGCCACTCAAACTGGCTTGACTATGAAATAAGAATTTGCAAATAGAACGACAGATAGGGCATCAAAAGAGTAATTTATTAATCTCATACCAGCTGTGGTTTTCTACACTAACTAAACTTATGGGAGCATTTTGAAGCATCGTAATAATACAATAAAATAATACAGAGTACAGAGTAAATAAAAAAGAAAGAAGAAAGCTTTTTTTCAACTTTACCAGTTGTTGCAAAAACAAGTCCTGAGACAACAGTGAGTCTGTCTTAAATTAAAAACATGGTTATTTTGATTAGATTAGATTTTAATGCGGCACCACTGAGGAAGCAGAAAGGAGGTCTTTGCTTTAATTAAGTGGCTCCTCCTACTCCTCCTCCCGAATAGTCCTGGAGCAGCAGCATGTCCCATGTCTTTCCAGAGATTTTTGCACAGCGGTCTGCTCATACTTTAAACATTCTAAAACTGCCACAGCAGAGGTTTAGAGCAAATGTATCCACATACTTCATGCATATACTCTGAGGCTCTGTACTAATTTACCTCTGAGTGGGCAATAAACATGGACGTGTTGAGAATGAGTTGAGGAGACCGAATATAGAGGAGAGCCATGGAGAGACACTGGACAAAGATGACGCCAATGTCCTCGGAGACAAGACCTTGATGCTATGTGAACATTTCATTTTTAACTTCGTTCACTTTCCTCACCAGTAAAACTCTCTGGTTTGTGTGAATGACAACTGGCTGCTTCAAGACACAGGGCCAGCAGTTCAGAGAGTTGGGAGATTAGCTTCAGTGGTGCTCATGCTGCCAAAGTATGCAGTGTTCACTCACTGTTTTGTTTGAAAAAAGCATTAATACAAAAAAAGCAAAAATTTGCACAACAGGGAGGAGATAAACCAGCACAAGCACATAAACAGCCATATTCACACACAGTGAACACAAACAGAGCTGTAAAACTGGGTGGTGCTGGTGTGTGTGTTTCTTTAGGATGGGAGTGATCTCTGACCTTTTCCCATCAACCGACTGAACCAAAAATGTGAGGCAACTAACAAAGACGACAACACAGATGGCACCTGAATGGCATTTCTCACAAAATCAAACAGAAAAAGTTGCTGTGTGACGAGTGAATATACATTATATTTAAAGCAACTGTGATACAGCTGACAAACACAAAGCTTCACAATTTTTTACCCATGGGATTGGAAAAGCAGCTCAACACTACAGCACTGCATCACTTATTTCCAAGAAGATTCGTGTCCATTTTTGCCTCTCCAAACTGTGAAACAGACACGCATGCAGATGTTGCATTACTAGAAGGAGGAAATAATCTATTTAAAGCCACAAAGTCGGTAGTGAGAAAAATGTATGAAGTACATTCCAGGGTCCTTAATCATCAAAACTGATTAAGCTAGGCAGCTAATATGTATATACATATAACTGTTAATGTTAATAATGTCTGTTAAAATGCTTTTCCACGATTATGTTCATGTTGGCTTGAAATAAAATATCTTCCTCTGCCGTTACTGCAACGTCTGTGCGCATGTACGTGAAATGGACACCGTGGACTGCTGTGTCTATTTCAAGTTCTATTGTGATATCGGGTTGCAACCACCCTACCTATGGGAGTAAGCTAAAGTTCCTGGAGAGAACATGCAAACTCCACACACACGATAGATTCAAACTCAGGTCCTTCTTGCTGTGAGGCAGCAGTGCTAACCACTGCACCACCGTGCTGCCCTCGTGTAACATTACAACAGAAAAGTAATTAAAAATAAAATAAAAATTGTGCGTGCAATGTTCTGATCCGTCGCAATGTCTCACCTGAACAGGTTCTCCGCTCCAGTTCTCATACGCATCTCCTTGTTGATCTGCTGGTTGATGCGAGCCCGTCGATGCTGCAGCTTACTGCGCTGAGTCTGAGCCAAAGGATCACAGCCCTGCAGATGAAATAAAGAAATGGAGGAGGTAAAAGAATTACTGAATGACCAACTACAAAAGTTGCATTTCCCACAGAATTAGACTATCTTAATTAATCTACTCACCGGCAAGAAAGCAAACCATTTTCCAAGCAATAGCGTAAATGATGCTGTATGTTATAAGGGTGTAAAGGTTATGGAGTTATCGTTTTTATCGGTAACTCGGTTTCCCTGGGTCTTTCAATTATGTTTTATGATTAAATCTTCTATTTTTTTGGTACCAGTACTGGTTTTATTTTTGTTATATTTATCCGCGACACCTTAAAGGCCGGTCCATGAAAATATTGTCGGACCGGTCCGTGGCGCAAAAAAGTTGGGGACTGCTGCTCTAAGAACAACACAGATACTTCCAGACACCAGTTTAAAACCATCCAGTTGACTACAGGATGAGAAACTCAAGCAGCTGACTAATATCAAAGATAGCAACAAAAGAAACTGGCAAGTGGACCAGACTGTAAAGAAACACGATGGTAAGGGCATGTGAACTTCCACTAATATCGTTATCAAGTCCCTGTATGAGAAACACTGGAGTCTGGAGAGGAAGCTGAATGATATCGAGCCTTAGAGAAACACAAAGTGGAAGGGTCAGGGCTGGTTGAGTTAATGAATTTGCAAAACCGGAGCAAACTGATGTAGTACCAGTAAATCCATCATGGAAGCTGCTGAAAAACCTAAAACTTAAAAAAAAAGACAGCTACACTAGACTACCAAATATACTTGGTGGCTGTTAATATATTTTGGCAGTCTGCCCAAGAAAACACAGAACAGCTGTGCAAATGTGACAACATTACTTCATGCTGTATGATCTGAGTAAGAAGTACTGGAAGCAGCTGGCAGACTTACAACCAGCTAACTAATGTTTTCCCCGATGGAAATTATCCTGTCCAAAAAAAAAAAGAAACCGTAAGAGACACAGCCACAGTGGGGATAAGATTTGATATATCGAAAATAAATCTCAAACAGACTGCGGCGCAGTGAGAAATTACTTTTTTAAAGCCTTCCTGTTTTCACATGACACTAACCCCAGTTTTACCATGGCACCATGGCATGTCATTACTGCCAGTGGAGAGCAGTCTGAAAGAATTACTTCGCACTACAAACCCAGTATAGCATAGAGATGATGGACGTGACAACACGTGAAGGTCATTGTGACTGCTTAACATGATAATACTGTGCCACAACAAAGCAGAGGACATACATTCTCTCAGAAGATAAAAAACTTTAACAGGATCTGTACATGTGTTTGAAGATTTAACAGCTTTTTAAAATCTTGCTTCAACAGAGGCAATTTGCTCACAATACTTTAAGAACTGCCTCACAGCTGGTAATTTGTGTGCTCACTAAAACCAGACATGTGTCATACAGTACAGCACACTTTCACACTCTGAGGTAAACAAATGTACAGTTACATGACAGATGGCGGAGCTGTACTGTAAACAAGCCGAATACTCCCTTTTTCTTATGCCCTACTGCTCCTTCCATCTTCTTCTCTTTCCCTCTTCCAGGAATCTCAACAGTATATAGTTGTTATGTTTGTCTCTCTCTTTTTCTTCATATATCTCTTTACCTCCCAGTAAAGGAGTTTGTTTAACATGCGCTCATCAAGTAACCCTCCAGTGAACTGAACTGATCTCCCACGACAGGGCAGGTTACAAAGACTGAAAATCATACTTCTGATTGCTTTGGTCACTAACAGACTGGTGCACGGAAGATGCTGACTGTCTGTAAACACTTGCTGTTTACTCTCCAAGCGTTAGAGAAACTTGTGAAAACGTGAAAAACTGCCAACAGGAAGCAAAGAACATTTGCCTTCAACAGTGAAACTTCTGCCTGACTGCTGAAAGAAACACATTTTTAAAAATTGCAAATTTTTTGGAAGGCAAATGCTCACTCATTTTGCTTCTTGCTTTTCACAGACAACTTGGCAAGTAGTTTGGAATTGTTTGCAGACATGTCACAATCCTCCAGGTACACTACTTGCAACCGTGGCACCCAGCTAATGACTAAAGCAACCACCAAGAGGTTTTTGGTACAACACACTATTATATACATACAGTAAGCAAAGTAACTACACACTGCTGTTAATATAGCATGCATAGATTATATATCATCTATTATTCTTTATTGGTAAAAGTGATAACTAACAGTTTGGTAAATGTATATTCTGTGACTTACTTATTTGTTACATTTTATGGTCGGGAAAGCAATGTTTCAGGGGATCCTGATGTCACACAGTCTCATAAAAATAAATAAATTACAGACTAATAATTTAACAGTGGTATACGATCAGCACTCTGTGAACATCTACACGAAGCCAAGGTATATGTAAATATAGAGCTAGATCAGTTCAGCCCTTCTCTGATGTATTGGGATGGTCACTATGTCAAAACTCAGAAAATGTGGTCAGCGAAAACATGTGCTCTTTTTCCCAATAATGTGGGTATTATCCCTGCTGCTAACTTTCTTTGTTCCCTAAGTTAAAGTTTACATTTGCCAATTTACATGATTATCGATGACATTCAGGTTTCATGTTCTTTAGTTTTAATTACAGGTCCAATAAGATCCCCATGTGAAGCCACACAGCATCATCTCGTGGACTGTATTCTAATTTTACTTATCCAGTATTTTTTTTTTTCATTTGAAATGAATGTAAGAGTGTGGGTGTCTGACCTTGCGGATGCTCCCACTGTGGCTGCCATCTGTGGGTAAAGTCGACGGGAATTCGTCGTCGTCGTCAGAGGGACCGTCTGACAGGGACATCTCAAACTCTCTGCAAAGATTCATGTCAGCATTTTTATTACACTCAGGCACGTTTAGACGCACTTCTCATACACCACCGCACTCTTGGAACAAGACTCTTAGCTTAACTCGCCATTTTAAAACGTAAGTTTTATCCCAACGTAAACAAAACAAAAATATCCTCCCCAAAAAGCGTTAATTTGGCTAACATTAATCCTTGCCTTATCGCTGGCTCCTCCATCGTCAAGCTACAATACCGGCGATCAAAAAGTCTCTACATGTCTCCCAACTTTCCCACCACTTTGTGAATTTCCAAGTAAGCGTACTACTCCAAAAACAGTCAACCGCAGATTAACTTTTTTACTCCTGAAAACAACTAAGCTTTCGCTTTAATGTACAACGTCGTCCGCACGACTCTTCCCGACGTGTGTGCAGCTGGGAGCGCTTACTCACAGAGGCGGGCCGCGAATGTAGAAGGTAGCCAATCATGTTGCAGCTTCTAAGACGGGCAATACATGAAACAAATCATAGGGGAGGTTGGGACGGAACAACGATCCGAGGTGACCAATTGCGAGTCGCTCGTGGCATCTCCCATACTCCGCGAGTCGTTTCTATGGTAACGGCAGGGCTTTGGCTTCTGTGTGTGGGCCTCGGAAAGATTACAGAAGCTCCGCCTCAACCTAGGACTGAAAACAAATTTCCACATTAGATCACTTATTCTGTTATTCATTGTCTCCGTGCTCTGTTCTGCTGTTGTCATACGGCAGCGTTTTTTGCCTTTTTAAAAACTTTTTAACTTAGAATGTATGTAAAGTTCATCAACAGGAAACACTAATAAACAGGTTACAACATAGGTTACAACAAGGTTACAAATAAAAAAAATATTGAATATGATGTAATAAGTTGGGTTTCATTCTGTAAATGGTGATAGAGTTTTTGTTTTATACGCTAAATCTATATTTGAAGAAGCCACGGCAGAGAAGAAGTGGGTAAAAAGCTCAATACTTGCATGTAACAAAACATGCAGGAAGGAAGGTAAGCCAGTGCTAAGGTGGCTTAAACATGCATCCCTCCTAATAGTCAGCAGGGGGCAAATCCTCTCGATGGGTAGTAGTCTACGGGAAACCGAGGATTTTCAGCACTTTCCTGGTGGGTTTATGGCCTTGAGGGGTCTTTACCCTTCACAGATTTGCCGTAAGGCAAAATAAAATTTTCTTAAAACCATCGTCCAGCGGATGTCTTTTTAAAAGATTGTTACCAACCAAAGTGTATCAGTGAAATAGGCTTTTTAAATATAACTGTTCTGTCTGTTATTGGTTTATACAAAAATGAAAGAACAAACATAATTTTAATAATAATGCTTAATAATAATAATGGTAATAATCGTAATAATCGTAATAATAATGCTTTTAATAAGCAGTAACACATGAAAGGCAATCTTGTTTGTTTATTAGTCACGAGAGGATGTCACATAAAAACAGATGAAAGGGGCAAAATTGTGTGCCATAGTCAGAGGTTAAAGTGGGCATGTTTTTATTTATTTGTTTTGTTTGTTTGTTTTGCTACTACATTGGAATGACTGTGGGTGTCCATAAGTTGTGGTACTTCAGCATCTAGCTAGCTATGCAGAAGAAGAGTGAGCATAAGTGTGTAATTTTTTTTGTGTCAGGACATGTATTTCACAGGGAGAGAAAAGAAATAGAGTTAAATTTACTTAGACATGGAGCAAGGTAAGAAAGCCAGAACTAGAAAGGAAGAAGAGAGGTTAGACTTAAAGGTAAGGACTGCTCAGTGGTGTTTGATAAACTGGAAATGTAAAGCTTATATTTAAGTACTCATGTATTTAAATACTGGGTCTGTATATGTGCGATTGTGTTTTTCAAGTTGTGAAACATGCTGCAAAAAAACCAAACAAAAACAGCATGGATTTAAACCAAAGAACAGTGTGTGACTAGCGCACAGTGGCTGTAGTCATGGTCAGAGTTTGTTACATAAAGGGTAGCAGAGATGAATTTGAAGTTAAGCTGATGATGTTCAAATTCATTCACTGAATTCCACATTCATACCAGCTGTATAGTGCACAAATGAAATGCAGAATCAGGGACAGTACCTACAACACAAAGGCAAAAAAAAAACCAAAAAAAAAAAACACACACACATAAGCAAAACAATGACATGCTAGATGCATTTTATTTATTTATTTTAGCTATAACACTGGTCAGCAGATAACTTTTTATATGAGTATATAAGACATTAAGACATTCTTCCTGAACCAAGAGAGCTCCAGCTCCAGTAACATTTACATCAACCTCCAGTGGTGCTGTAAAATCTGTAGCTGAGAGCATTGGGGCAACAGAATAGAGCTTTTACACAGTGTGAAAAGACTATGCACACTTTGCTTCTCAAATCCAACCCTCTGGCTTTTTGTGGGACAATGTGAAAGAGCTATAGTGGTTATATTGCCATTTACTGGATATACTTTACCCCAATCAAATTGTTTGCCTTGACAGGTGATGGTAGTCTCCATAGCTCATATTTAAAAGGCTCTTGTAAGCAGTAGACAATATATGCACATGAGAATTCAAGAAAGTATAGAGAACTACCACTTCATCGATGGATATGATGCAGCTTTAAGAAACTTTTTAACAAAAAGGGGAAAATGATTGGTGTGAGGAAGAAGCTACGTATTTACAACAAACTCCAATAAATAACCAAAAAAAACAACAGATTTCCCATTAATTGTGGTGAATTGTTATTACGTGGAATGAAATAAAAACCTAAATAAATAAAAATAAAAAGAAATAATCAAAATCAAAAGCTCTAATACAATAGTTGGTTACTTTTTTAAAGTATTCCACTGTCTGTCTTTGATTTTTTTGATTAATCAGATTTTCCCTTCTCCTTGCTTTGTACCACTTTGGTCACTTGGGGGCAGTTTTGTCCCCTTTTAGCCAGTAAAATACTATCCTGCAAACACTTCTCTTTTCTGTGCGCTCTGTGATTATTTGTATGGAGGTATCTATGGTTCAAACTATGTACATTTTTACAGTTACTACACTGTGGTGGGGTTGGGGGCTGGTGATGTTGTTGCATTCAGTAAATCCAAATGCCAACACATAAAGGTAGTAATTTCTGTCCACCTGTGGATCCAGAACACAACCTGCCATCTGTAGATTTGACCTTTTATGCTCAGTTTGCACCTTTTTACTCTTTGAATAGCTGCCAATTCAAATTTAGAAATGCTTCAAACCACTGTGATGAAGCTCATTCATGTACACTGTTCTTTACAAAGTTTGTAGAAATAACATTTTTTCTGCTCACAATGGCCAAGTAATATAGGAACGTCTGTGACATTTTCACACTGTCAATAATTTAGTGTTGTTCTCTCCTTCACAGCAAACAATGAGGAGGACCTGCTGTCGATGTGAAAAATGTCTTCGTCCTCACATGCAGGGGGGAAATGGACATTCTGTGCAGGCCGAAATGGATTAGGGCAGAACAACTGTCATTTCAGACACCACCTTGAGGTGGCTGTCATTGTGAATAAGAGGTATATGAATAAAGCTAAATGGAATTGAGCTGAAAAGAAAATAAGGTACTGTGCAAATGTTCCACCAGACTTTTTGGACATTTTTAAGTGGTCTTGAGCAGTAGTTCAACAGGCTTCCTGAAGGTCTTTTTGTGGACTTTAGCTGCTTTTTCATTCACTATTAGTCGGGTCCTTGTACCTTATTATTTTTGTTTGTATGTTTGTTTGTTCTCTGCATCACTCAAGCATAAAAAGATACCTAACTTACAGTTTTTCTCAGTCGCTTTGGTGCGTTTCTCAGATCAGAATTGAAATTCTCATAACTATTAGTTCAACCTACACAACACTCAGTCATTTGTGCACATCATAGTAGCAATTTCTCCTCTCTCTGAACAAACTGCAAATGATTTTGGACATGAATCAGTTGCTTCCATACATTTCCCTGCTGCTTTCTGACATTTCCATTTGCTTATGTCATGTCAGTCAAAAGTAATCATACCTATGGATGTTGAATAGTCATTCCCAATAAAACTAATAGTCATACATCCATTGCTTAAGTCATCACACACAAAATTGTTGAACTAGTTATCACATGCCAAATA